TTGACCAAGAAATTTTACCCAACCAAAGAAAGAACAAATGAAAAAGGCAAAAAAAAAGAAAAAAGAAAAGAATGCATGCATGATTTTGAATGTTCCATTGAATAATTTTGATTAGCTTGCAACCATCTTTCATCTCAAGACTTATTCTGAAGAACCCCATTTGCAGAAACACAAACTAATTTGCAAACAAAACACAACATAAATTATTCTGCTCAATGAATTTGATTCTATTTCATCTCCAGACTAATTCTGAAGAACCTCATTTGCAGAAAAACACTAATTAACAGATTAATCTCAACAAACATGCACAAAAACACAATCTTGGTCCAGGAAATTAACAAACATGAATCCATGCATGCATCATGCATGAACAGAGAGCTAAACACAACAATGGAGATTGAGATTTAAAAAAAATGGGGCGGGGAGGGGGGAGGGGATTAATAATAACCTGCTCCTGCTGCTGCTGCTGCTGAATCACATGCTGCAACATGGTTCCAATTCTCTCTCTGTTGCGTGGCTTGAGCTTTAATCAATGGTTTCGCTTGCTTAATTGAAAAAAGAAAAAAGAAAAAAATCAAAGAGAGAATGTATTTAAAATGCAACCAATATGTACATGCACATCGCTCCTCCTCACGGGCCTTGTTGTTGTGATCTGGATGGAAACTATACAAAGGAGGAGCCAAATGCAACAGAATCTCAAAGAGCTAGCAGAGCCTATAACGATCCAAAAAACCAAACGACCATGGCAAAAAAAGAAAAACAATTTACAGAGAGAAAAACAGAGGAAGGTTAAAAGAAGGGTGAGCTAAGAAAATGGAGGGGTGTGGGGTGGCAAAAGTGAGTTAATAGCCTAAACTTCATATATATATATAGTGGTAGGGGTCTGTCCGTACTTAGCCGTCAAGCCTGGCACTGGTCAACCCGAGGCCCGCGGGGGATCGCTAGCTTGGGGTCCGTACATGGCGTGGCACTCTGGATGAACACAAGTGAAAGAAGACTGGACACGTGGCGAACTGGGTCTCGAGTCTCGACCAATGAAGGGGTGACCTGGCAGTGGCCTCTAATGGATTTTGTTTTGTTTTGTTAAGAGGCAAAGCTGGTTTGGTTTGGTTGGATTTTCTTAATCTCTAACCTTCCTTAACTCACAACAGTTAGAGCAGAAATTGGTTGACCAAGCCTTGCCTGTTGCCCGATTCTTTTCTAAGTTTTATTTTGGTAACCCCCGATTCTTTCAATGTGGGTAAATATATAATCGAAGAACGTCCTCAATGTGTCCTTGTTTGGCATACAATATTGGATTGAATTATTATTATTCAGGATTTGGTGTTAACATGTGACTGAGGAGCTTAATTAGCTAAATAGTGCTATCATGCATATGGTATATACTATCTACACAACATTGGATTAGATCATACCTTAAACCCCGAATGTGTACACCCGACTTTAGGTTTCGATTCTCGAACTTTGAATTCTAGATCATAAATCAAACTAAACGATGTCTGATTTAATTTTTGTAGTTTAAAAAAATAATATGATTACCTTCCTTGAGCCATTGAGCTATGTATTTAACTCCATACAACGCAAAGCTGTCGATATCTTCCCCTTTTACTGTAAAGGGAATTTATTTTTGAGATCAGTCAACTAAGGGAAGAAGAATGATGATTTTGCTGCAGTTACATAAAAGATATGGAATGGTACACATGCTAATAATTTGGGGAATTATACGCAGTGGATAACGATAAAGTTATTCCACTCTGGACAATATCCAAAATAATTTTGATAAAAATTCATGACTAAATTAACTTAACACGAAAATAATGAAACCCAAAATTTTAAAAAATAAATTAAAAGTGACTCTCCCTTTCAAGAACCTTAACCGCAGTCTTAGTCATTGACTGATGCTGAAATAATTATGCTTCTCGATCACTGGAGAATATATATTGTGTACTTTCTTATAATTCAGCCTTTTATTTGTATAGATCCTTATGGCATAGAATTGATATGATATTGATGAGGATATGAGGTGGACGTGCAGGACATCTTATGCTTGATAATGCAGAGGTGCTCAACTACTCTTGATCAATCATGGGAGTCAATTTCTGGCTATGAGCTACACCATTCAAATTGAGAGTGAGAGAAGATTAGTGGGAGTCCTCCGATCTCCGTATTTACGTCTAAAATTACGCATTTTCATCTTTTATTTTAGAGTCTGTTATATTTTATTTTAGGGATCGTGACATGAAAGTCCCTAACAACTTTCTTATTTATTATAAATCAAATGACTAAATTGTAAACCCAAAACAGTTAAGTATGGATACTCAAAAGTACGTAGTTTCGGGTATGAAAACAAAACAAACATGGAAAGATAAATTTATTTGAAATCTCCTAATTTCCATTGATGGAGATGCTACACCTTCATGATAAATCACATGGAATTTTATACAATGAATATTTGTTCTATCAGGACAAAAGATCATAGATTTGGTTTCATACATGCTGGATCGGTTTATGTTAGGGAATCATAGATTTGGTTATATGAATGAATACCTTAAGAAGGTTGCATGGTCCTTTTTTTTTTTTTTTTTTTTTTTTTTTTTTTTTTTTTTTTTTTTTCCTTTTCTCTTTTTGATTCAACAATACAAAAATGAAAAAAAAAAAAAACTATCGTTTATAAGATTTGAATTCAGGAACGTATTCAACAAGACAAAGACTAAATTACTATTAAACCGAAGGTTAATTGACAAATTTTGTTTTGGATTCGATTTAAGATGTAGAGTCATGATCCATAATGGCAAACTAAAGTTATAGATGACAGATCCTAAAGCATGCCCTTGACGATGCATACATGTCTTATTTCCTTTTAATGCTTGAATTTGGATATAGAATCATTTTCATTTTGACCATCATATACATATCATCACCAAACCTACATAAAAAAATGCTCCACCTCCTCCTTTTTATTCCAAACCCCATGCAAAAAGGCAAGCCCAACTCCATGAGCACCCAAAAAAATACACTAGGGTTAATTTGCTTTGCATCAATAATTTTCTCTTTCTAAAAATTTAGGCAAAAAAACATGACTCGTGCACATGTTTTAAAAAAGTGGGATCAATCCCCTTCCTCAATTTAGCTTATACCTCTTTCCAATCAATGTGGGTCGACAATGCTCAATTATATGTTGTTCTGGAAACTTAAGCTAACCTTTTGGTTTGTGCATCCTTTTAGAGAGCTTTCCATTTTCTGGTTTTGGCAAAAGTTCTGGAGCATGAAGTGATTCGCATGTCTCATATGTTTTGTGTTTTAGATTTTACAGAAGGGAAATATACCCTTTCTCGGAATCTAAGATTGTGTTTGATGAGTTACGTACTATACCAAACTCTCACTGGAAACATGAAACAAGCAAATTCTGTGTTGAAGGGACGGGAAGGTTGTGCACATGGTTTTGCAAATTATATATATATGCTAAGATTCTACAGAACATGTCCATTAGCATTAGCTCCATCCATCCGTCCCCATGACTTGGGATGAAATGATTAACATCATGTGATCTGTTGGGATATTGGGTGGCTCGATACTAACCATGAGTGTCAATGGAGTTAATCCCATGTCAACAGTGGCAGAGCAAAGAATTTTGTCATTGTCGAGGCGTGATAAAGAAAGTTATCAAATGGCATATAAATAGGTGTGTTCAAACATTTCATCAAACACCTTAGTCATTTGCTTAAAAAGAAAAACTCAAGAAAATTGAGGTCATGCGACCAACATGTACACTATAAGATGACGTGTATATATATATGTGTCCTCAAACACATCTTTCTTATATAATTTTTCGTAAACGCTTTTATCACAATGTGACTACATGTAAGAGGAGCGTTGTATACATCCGTTATACACAAGAATTTCTCAATTCCACTTTTCGGACTAACTGAAACTGCTACCTCTTTAACAACTTCATTAAGCATGCATTAATTGAACAGAAGAAAGAAGAAAAAAGATGTAATGTCTCATCGTCTTCACTCAAGGTTCTGCTGTAGCATCAATCTAATCTTTGCTACAACATAACCATGATGGATGCCCATTTCGTCTGTATGGCTCTCATTAAATTCTTAGGCTCAATATTCAACAGACATGTTTTTTTTAAAGAATTTTACAAAACTGGAAAGAGGGCATCAATTTTTACACTTTGGAATGCCTCTGTTTTTCTCTTCTTAGATAAATGGTATTTCAAATTTGACAGAAATAATGCCATATACAATTTTATTCTCAGGAGAGCAATATACTATACTGGGATATTTTTTATTTTTTATTTTTTGGGAATCAAATTATTGTGGGAAATTTTTTTATCTGGCTTGTACCATTTTAGCCATACAATCTGCTTTGGAGCTTTGTAGCAATATTTATTTGATATCAACCTTCAGACCACATGTCTGGTTATGTGTCTCACTTTTTGATGCAGAAGATGAATAATTTTGGGTACATTTACATATTCTTGTCTGTGTCCCTATAATATTTTCTGAGTTATAACGCTGATTAATCATCAACATTTGGGACAAGAAGAGATTAGTGAATGTAACATTTGGGATTTAATATGGGTATTTTTCTAAAGTTGCATGTAGCTCTTTTGATGTAAAATCCCACGTACATCTAAATAGGCCTAAAGTGGAAAACAATATCGATACAATATAAAGAGAACATGACCCAATAACTACCATATTTTATTTTTCCTTTCTATTTCTCTTATTTTGCTTAGTCAGCTTCTGTTCTTAGGTTACACAACTTCATTACAATTCATAAGGCCATTTCTCTCAACAAGGAGTTTTCTCCTTCTAAAGGTTTTTATAAGTGTGCGTTGTGGATTGATATGAAATTTTTAACGGGTTGATCCGGATAAGTTTCGTGTGAGATTCGAGTTCTATACCAAGACGTGCCGTAAATTGTCACCCCTAAATTTGAACAATTTGAGCTTAATCAGCATTCATAATGAGTTGGACTGGAGTTGAGTTTATTTAAATCAAAAGGAGTTGAACCTGAGCCCGAAAACCAAATCGAGTATATCGGGTTGGATCTGGGTCGCCCTCCCAACTTGCTCAACCCGCCCAATTTGCTACACCAGTCCATTTTACTTTGGGCCAGCAGCTTAATAGAAGCCCAACCGGAGCCGGTCCGATTTTCATTTTAAGTTTGATAGAATCCCTAAATCATAAAATCCAAAGACCATCGACCTGATTTTCTTTCTTTCACAAAGTTGGATTGTATCCCTTTGTGTCCTTGCGAGACAGCGCTGCCCTCTTCTCTTGACTTCACTGAGTCGCAAGCAGCACAAAGGCTGACACAAACCCTAGCTCTCTCTGCCATAATGAACTGCTCGAGTAAAGCTCTCTCTTCCTCTCTATCGCGTTCGTTGTTTTACTTTTATCTTTTTTGGCTGATCTCTCTTTTTCTAACTATTACTCTTCTTATTTGCCCGTATAGTCTCCGGCGAGGTGCCGGAAGAGCCTGTGGTCTCCAAGAAGTCTGGTTTGCTCTTCGAGAAGCGTTTAATCGAGAGGCATATCTCGGTGTGTTTATTTCTCTCGCTATCTTCATTCTAGGGTTTCCATTGGTTTTACCATTATTGTTTGGTTACTGAGAAAATTCCGGAAAATTAAAGAATAACTAGCATGTGAAAACTTCGGAGTGCATTTTGTTTATGCCATTTATTGCTGCTAGAAGAACTCACATTTTTTATATCTTAGTTTTGTTTAATAAATTTCAGTTTCAATGCTACATATGATAGAAGACTAAGTGTTTGTAGTTGTCCTGTTATCTTACTAGGAA